GTTACAAATTCCTTGTATTTTATATAAAATGTAGATGGAATAATTTTGGGTACACATTTGGGTCCTCTCTCTCTCTCTGTCTCCAATCTTAATGCTAACATGTACTGAAAGAAGAACTATCAAGCAGATTCAGATTTGTAAATCAAAAATTCAGGTGTTAGCTGATTTTGGACAAAGTGTTTCAACTGGGCTGGTGCTAGAGACTAGCAAATTATGTAATTGACTGCTATAATGGAGTTATTGATATTAGTGATATATATCTACTCTATAATAATAAAAGCCTATAGAAGGCTGAATGGCAACTTTTTATGTTCACATCATTTCACCACTACTGCTGTTTTGAAAGCTCCATGGAGCAATTAATTAAATTTACTGCTCTTTGAAAGCTGGTCTAACACAAATGGGAAGAGTGTGGTTCAAATTATTACTGCTGAGTCACAAAGCACACTGAGTGATCTTGAATCATTGTATAGATTAATCTACCCTGCAAGGCTATAGTGAAGACTATGGACAGATTTTAAAAACTAGTCTGCTGAGTCTTGTCTGCTGCTTTTTGCCTTGCAAATTTGCAATGTTTTGATTGGGTTATTTAGTTAATTAATTAATTCACTGCAGGCTGCTTTGGATGTTTCAAAAGAATAACAGCATACAATTAGAATCAAATGTATGCAGGATTTGCATTTCAGGCTGTAGGTACAGAATTTCTGGCGGATGGTTGTGCAGCTTCGTCTTAAATATATCCAGAAAAGGAGAGCCCATTAACTACTGAGCTACTGCACACACTGTCAAAAAGCTCTGAACATACCAATCTCTTCCCAATATTCCATGCTGTTCATGTCTTTTTAAAAAGGTGGCACCTAGAATCAGACACAGCATTTTAAATAAGGCCTGACCAGCACAGAATCATGCAGAACCATTATAATGTATATGATCTGGAGATTATGCTTCCATAAACAATATTTGACATTTGCATTTGCTTTTTTAGTAGCTACATCACACTCATAGCTTGTATTCCGCTTGCAGTCTACCCAGGCATCTACACATATATTTTAGAAATAAAACAAAACAAATAATCTAAATGTGATTGTCAACATTCATTCATACCTATCCAAAATATAGAGAAATCTATTTACGTAGTGTGTGAATGTCTGTGAGTGCACTTGTATGTGCGTACATCACCTGAAATTTACAAATCATATGGAATTGCTACCATTTGCATATGACATTCATCACATTTTTGCAGGCTGATGTATCCATTTATATCCTGTGCTACAGATCAGTCATGCAACAACATATATCCAGTCATGGTGGGGTTTTTTATAATCCAGACTCCAAAACTGGTCTTGTCAAGGGATTGTAATTGTGATGTCCACTCCTACGCATTTCCATTCATACCCCCACCAAATTCAATAGGACTTATTCCTCCTAGAATGCAGAGGACTGCAGGCTTAATCCTTAAAATATGGTGAGAGAAAGCTGGATCGGGAGTCAGAAGAGGGAAAATGTGCAATTCTGTAATATTTGAGAAGCAGCAGGTGTCTCTGTAATTAAATGCAGGGTTGTAATACAAACTCCCATGGGAGAAGGGCTCAGGTTCCTCAGGCAGGAGGGGCGCAGAGTCTAGTTCACTCACATCACATTCTATAAAAGGGACAAGAGGAACCAAAGGCCAATAGGATTCTCCTTTGGAGATTATTTTCTGTTTCTGTGTTAAGGGGAGGCTGTGAGCAGCACCTATCTAAATCTGGTCTTCCTTGCAAACCTGCCAGGGTTGAGACTGGTTAACATTACATCATCATTCTTGATGGAGATAAGTCCAAAAGAAGCATTCACATTACCTGAGCACTCACATAGGAGCACGGTCCTGTAAAAGAGCCCCTATGCATGCTAAGACTACAGACAACCATGCTCCTGAAATAACTAAAATGCTCTCTTTCTATTGAAAAGATAACTTGCCTTTCCTCCAAATATAGTACATTGGAGATGCCAAAGACTGTATCACAGACATCATATATGCAAAACATGCATTCTGCTAAAATTTACATCCTCATCCAGATTTATTTTAAGCAACACAATTCTTCACATTTATTTCCCACTTTTTATCCACAGAACTCATAATGGTGTATGTGCCCATCCCTAACCCTCCCTTTTTTTTCCACACAGCAATCCCGTGAGCTAGGTCAAGCTGAGGAGGGTGAACTTGTCCTACGTCATCCACTATGCCTCCGTACCAATTTTGGTGGTTTAAAAAAGAAGCTGCCCTTTTAGGTAAAGTGTGGAGAACCTTGACAGCCTCAATTTAGCCATAATAGCTTCTAGTATGAATTCAGGATTGATTTGGTCTAGAATCCACCTATTTGTATTTCTTGCAGCCCATAGTGTCTAATATTGAGTCCTTTTAAGGAGAAAGGTGGGGTAAAATATTTTAAATAAATAAATAAACCTGTAAAGCTCTCATCCAGCACCACATATAGTGGTGCCTCGACTTACGAACGTCCCAACATATGACCATTTTGAGTTGCGACCAGCTCCCGCCCCCAAAATTTTGCTTTGACTTGCGGCCAGGGATTCAAGTTGGAACCAGAAAAAGGCAGGGAAAAAGGCGGGGAATTCAAATTTGCTAACCTTTAGTAAGTGAAGAGGCTGCTTCTTTGTACCTCGTTAGAGTGAGTGCGTCGGAGGAGGCTTCAGACTGGCTGGTCCTGTTTTCTGCTCCCGAGTAAGTACATTTACAGTACTTTGTTTTGCAGGTTGGGTTTGGTTTTTTTGGGGGGGGGGTTATGTTTCTGTGCTATGATGTTTTTTGTGTTTTGGCGTGTTTCCCCCCCAGTTCTGATGGGGCTTGGAGTGGTGGGGTTTTTGTTTGTGTGTGTGTTTTTGTGTTTTGGTGTGTTTTTCCCCCCAGTTCCGATGGGGCTTGGAGTGGTGGAGTTTTTGTTTGTTTGTGTGTGATTTTTCCCCCAGCTGGAATGGATTAATGAGGTTTCAGCTGGGGGAACTTACAACCATTTCGACTTACAACCATTTCAATTTACGCCCATCTTCTGGAACGGATTATGGCCATAAATTGAGGCACCACTGTATTGAATCAGTTGATTTTCTCCCTTGTCAGATGGCCATAAGTCGAGGCACCACTGTACTGAATCAGCTGATTTTCCCCCTTGTCAATTTTCTTCACTGTACAGCCTTCACATTTGTACAAAGTAATCTAGGTGACTATAGTATGGATGATCTTGGCTTTGGTCCCCAGTGATACATCATTACATTTAAGGGTATTCTAAATTTAATCTCTTGTACAGAGTATAGGTTACACATCAGAACAATCAAATATAGTGACATACATATTTCTTTGGCAGTGATCCTCATCGTTCCATGATCTCCACGATCAGCTTTACAACTTTACCATAGTAGCAGAAACTGATTTTCTGCTATAATTATGTAGAACACACCAGTAGCCAACATAAATCTTCTATTTCTAATGGTATCGTCAATTTGATTTCTACATTGGCAATCTGGTGATGTGCGCATACACAATTGTCTGTCTGGATGCCTCAATCATGCATTTGCAATAAACAAATTGTTGGCTTCACAAAATTCATAGTCATTCTCCCACTTCATTTCCCACTCCTAAACCAAATGATCCAATAATGTTTGATTTCACTTCATTTCCTAGGTTTGCATTCCAGTAACCTATAATTATATATGAATGTCAACACATCTTGTTTTGGTGTGTAATCGATTTTTTTCCTGGACAAGTTTTCATTTTTTTTCTTCTGAATTTGTTGCTGGATCATTTACACTGACACATTTTCCCTGGTGTCTCAAGAAACCTTGCTTTTAGAGCTACATATTTTCTTCGTTTGTTGTTTCCAGAGCAGAACACTTATCCAACTCTTTAATTCATTCATTCCAAGTATTACAATGTTTAAATGTTCAATTTTTTGTTTTGCAATTTTGCAGGTCCATACTTCGTGCCAGTTATACATATTACATACCTTCGGACTTTCATTTAAAATACACGTGTGTGAACAATCAGATATCCTTTGGCTTTAATTCATTTGTTTCATTACTAACAGTGCTACTAGTGCTAACTGGGGGAAATCCTGTTGTGTGCTTTGCACCAATGTAACCCAGATTGGGTACCAGAAGCATTTAATTTAAAGTAATAAAAAACTTCATATCTCCCTCTTTTAGGTTCCAAGGCTTCCTAGGGCTCCCTTTTGCCTGGGGGAACCTTTGGGAGCCTAGGGATATGGCCAGACCCGATTGCCACTACTGAGATCAGGATTCCCCCTAGCAATGTGGCGGCTGTTAAAGTCTCCCCACAAGACTTCCAAACCCTTCCTCAGGAAAAAGGGAGCCTTAAGGAATCTCAGAACTTAAAAGGAAGGAGATAGGAAGCTTTTAATTAATGGATTAAATGTTTCTAGTCCTTGATCTAAGTTATGTCATGTAAAGTTACACCAACAGGATTTGCCTATGGTTTGCTATTCTCCAGTAAGTCATTGAGTATCTTCCAACTTGGAAGTCTCATCTTCCAGCATTTTTACTTGTTTCACGTTCAATCATTTCATCATAGGTTTTTTTCCAATTTATGTAAATATTCAGATGTTGTTTACCATTGCCTCCTTCTGTGTGGCACTAACTAGTTAGCTTGAGTGTCACTGTCATTGTGAACAATTCTCTACCACTCACTTTCCAACTACTGCTGTTATCTTCTTCCCCTACGGTGGACCAAAGTATGTTATCTTCTGCTGATGCAGCTCTTACTTAATAAAGAGGATGTATGCATCTTAATTTGGTATCTCAGTTTTGATCATTCCACTCCAGGTTATCTTATTATGAGTCCAGACTCTTGATGTAGACTAGCTTCTTGGTGGCATTGTCTCTTGATACAGTCCAACCTCCTAGCCATAATTTCTCCATCCTTATCTTAGATTTAAAAAGACACAAGACTCCTAAAAATACAATATGTGGAATATACTCTTAATGTTGCTTACCTGAAACAATCTGGATACTCTGCAAGAGCCATGTTGATAACATCCAAAGAATGCTGATAATGTTTCTGGGCTGAAAAAAGGAGGGCCAGCAAATGAAGGGAATTCATATCATCCTTGCAGAATTTCAGTGCTTCCTGGAGGTGTTCTATCGCATCACATATCTTGAAAATAAAACATTATTTCTCTCATTTAAGGCTTACTTTCAATATTGTTCAGATTCATCTGATTTGTCCTTGAGTATAGGAAGACAAGCCAGAAATGAAACAAAATAAAAAGACCCTACGCTAAAATACCAAAAAAGGCATAACCAATAAAACCCAATAAGAATAAAGCCAATCCAACTGCAAAGTGGCAACATAGAAGACAGTCTTACATATGCATATTTTATATCTTAGAAAAGAATATATTAAAAATGCAACTCACATTTCAATAGTGCTCAACAGCAAGAGTCTAGATTACAACCTGCTATATGTGAAGCAAACTAAGGTTATTGCTTTTTTGCCAAGGCCATCACGATCTCAACTGAGCAATCTGTTTGTACCAGCTACTACAGCCAGGTTGTTACATTTAAGATCCCTTTGTCTCCTTTTCTAATTCTGCAATTTTATTTTATTAGAGATCTTTAAACATAGGACGGGTCAAGGATGCTATGCAACACATTCCCTGCACAAGCATTTAAACTATGGGTTGAATTATGAGAATTATGAGAATCACATACATCTGTGATTACATTTAAATATACATGGGCACAACTTGCTTCGTGTTGTCGCAAGTCGTTGGTGAGGCACCACGCATGCTGCACGTTCCCTCCCTCCCCAGCCAACTCTCCTGCTCATCAGCCAGCACACGATGCTCATCTTCTGCTCTTCATGTGACTGTCCAGTCACAGCAGGAGCACAAATTTTCCTTCTCCAACTCCTCCAGCACCTGCTCACTCAAAACCAGTGCTGCAGGAATCTCTGCTCCACCTTCTCATCTGAGTGGGCAGTTGCTGGGGGAGGTGGAGAAGGAAGTCCAAGTTCCTGCCGCAACTGGACGGTCGCACAAAGAGCGGGAGATGAGCAGGAGATGAGCATAATGTGCCAATTGGTGAGAAGGGGAGCTGGTCGGAGGGGGGGAGGGGAATGTGCAGCACCCGTGGTGCCGCACTGACAACATGTAACAACAAGGCACTAAGTGAGTTGTGCCCATCTCTACCTTTAAATCACTTTTCTTAGGTGAGGAAGAAATCTATTCCAGCTTTTTGTCCCCAAACATAATCCTACAGATGTATCAGATTTTAATATCTGAAGCCCCTAATCCAGCCACCAGTGCTGAAGAGATTTAATGCCTTGTTTCACAAGGCAAGGTCTAAGTGCATAAGCTACAGTAATGTTGTTAAAGAAAGACTACCTGGGAACCCCAACCCAAATTTGTCTTGAGATTCTTGTTAGATGAAAGGTGCAAAATACATTTTGAACAAGCGTATACAAAAAAAAGGAAAGGAAAGGAAAATAACTTCCCCCAAAAATCTCAAAATTAAAAAAGGAGAAGATGAATTTTGGAATTAAACCTCAGAAAAGCCCTGTTGGGCCAGATCAGGGATTCATCTACAGTACTTTTCCCTATTTTTTTTATTTTTTTCAAATTGTCAAATACATGGTTCCTGCTATATGAAGGACATCTTAAAAAAAGAAAACCACTCCCTACACATTAAGGGGAACTGCTTTATTAGTTTGCTTTAAATACTGTACTTAAAAAAGCAAACAACCCTGATCAGTCATCTTATTAATGAGGTGCACTGCACAGGTTTTCACAGCCTGGTAGCGCCTGAAGGCTTTAGACTACAACTCCCATCAATCCTGACTAACCAGCTCATTGGACGGCTGACCAACCTCTCTGAAAACTGCCAGGTGAGGGAAACCTGTGATAGCACTGCAAATGTAAAGTAAGCTCTGCATAGGAAATTAAAATACTTTAGGACCCTGTGCAAACATTTCTGTGCGTCTTGGCCCAGTAATATCACTTGGAAACAACATGCCCAGCCATGGGCTAGAAGACAGTGTTGAACATCTAAATTGTGGCCATGTACTTAAGACCTATTGCTCCGTTCTTTATCTTGCAGTACCGGCCCCAAAAATTCCTTGCATTGTTATCTCTCCAAATCATTTGCTGTTCCTTGGTAAAGCTCAGAGCAATCAGTACATGTCTTCACTATAGTCACACAGCAGAATATCTGCTTAGATGCAGCAAGAGAGGATCATTCCTTGACTTCAAACTGTCTGCGCCCAGTGGTAGACATTTCACTACAGAAACTAAGGGAGATATAAGTCACATATAAGGTATTTTAAATAATCGAAAGGAAAAGAAAGGAGAACCCAAGGGGGGGGGAGGAGAGAGAGAGAGAGAGAGAGAGAGAGAGAGAGAGAACTGCCAGCCAGGGCTGAAACTCAGAGGAGGAGGGGCAGAGAAGCCTGTGGTTCTGCCTCCGAGTGGGCAGTTACCAGAGGAGGCAGAGGAGGGAAGCATGTGATGCTGCCAGTGAGTAGCTGGCCACTGCAGGAGGCGGAGGAGGGAAGCATGTTGCCACCCATGAGTAGGCAAACGTGTGGAGGCAGGGGAGGGAAGCACACAGCACTAACTGGGCTGAACTGCCAAAGCACAGCTCGCGTCCATCTCTAATCACAATTCCTAAGAAAGGAGGTGTCGAGGAGTACAGTATCTTTGGATCACACAAGGTGATGCTCATGGCATTACAACAAAGACTTTTACTTTATACGGAGTGAGAAATGCCTGATATTCAGGTTGGACTCTGAAAAGGAAGAAAGATCATATTGAAACTATCTGCTGGAACTTGCCTAATGCAACAACTGTATAGCATTAACAGAACCTCTTCAACTTTCTTGGGGCAGGAGTAAAACAGAGGCTGAGCAAAACTGATTAACAATTCTGTGTGTACCTAGTGTTTTTTCATGTAAGAAAGGGTGAAATCAAAATATGAGAGCAGATGGTAAGTTGCCATGCTGGTGGCAAGAACCCATTAACAACAAGGATGTATAACAATGTTTAGAGGCAGTGCTGAGGAGTTCCAGACTCTGAGACTGAAGAGAATGAACTGACCAAGCAGTTCTACCATTACAGTCTGGAGTCAGAACAGTTAGCAGTCATTTTAGGACTCTGGAGCCCATGTCAGTAGCCACCAAATTGGCTGCTGAAAGCCTTAATCGTGGCACTCACCACTTAATATAATCTGCCAGAAACATTAGTGGTATCATTTAGCTTTCAGTTAATCAGAAAGAGAATACATTAGATAGTTTAAATTATTAAAGATATTAAAAATGCATTACAAAAATGTTTATCATGAGCTATGCTGGCAATAGCAGAACAGGATATTTTAGAGGCCTAAAAATAAATATGTCTCGGGTATCAGCAAGGCACTCCAAGCATGCTTTAAAGATTTATACCCTGTTAAATGGAGGAAAACAGGGCAGCTACAGAAGAGTCAGTCTGACACCATCCAGCACTAGAATATCATTTGCAAAGTCTCATGTTAATATGTATTCTGGGCCTCTGTACCTCTCTGCCCGAGATCAATGTTTTCTTTCATTTATCTTTACCTAAGATATATGGTAGTTCTCAAACAGGAAGATATGGTCTCCTTGATGTATACCTGAGGCTGAGTTTAAGCAGCCCTGAGATGCTCTTAGTTAGAGTATAGGATAGATGGTTTATCAAAATATACCGTAGTTCTCAGCATCCCCTAGTAAATGTGACTACTGAAAAAAGTAATTTTACTATGGTGTGCCTTCAGCATGGCTGGATAGTGTTGGATACCTGACTGTGGAGTCAAAGGCTGTGAGTTCAATTCCTCACTGTGTCTCCCAGAAAACGAAGCAGCTGCTCTTAGTTAGAGTATAGGATAGATGGTTTATCAAAATATACCGTAGTTCTCAGCATCCCCTAGTAAATGTGACTACTGAAAAAAGTAATTTTACTATGGTGTGCCTTCAGCATGGCTGGATAGTGTTGGATACCTGACTGTGGAGTCAAAGGCTGTGAGTTCAATTCCTCACTGTGCCTCCCAGAAAACGAAGCAGCCTGTAGAGCCTTCAGTCTGAGGGTCAACTTGCAAACGACTTGGCAACTTCAAATTTGATCAAATTGAGAATTTTACTTTACAAATACAGCCCTTCTTTAAGAAAGTATGAACGGCTTTAAAATAAATCTCAAACTCAAGAGTTTTCTGAAATGAATTTTTAAATAATTTTGAAAAAGAAAAAGTGTGCACATGATTCAGTTTGAAATCCAAAGTCTTAACATGATATTCAGCTTGATGTCTGAGCCTTTTCCAGGGCTTTTAAGTCTTCTACAAATATGTTTAGAGACAGAGTGAATAAAGTTGCAATTCTAACACCTTGAGAGCTGTCAAAAAAGGTAAGCAGGAATGTGTAATAATAGGCCCTTTAAAGCTGTGAAGCCTATTCTGGCCTTAAAAGTGCCATGAAGGGCACAAGGTTCAAAATAAATGGTCCCCATGGAAAAATCTCACTGATGGCCACTATAGATGGCACTATACCCGTGGCAGAGCAGCATGTAGGTCATGGTTGGCATGTAGCCTCCAAAGATCCAAATGAGGCACCCAATGCCTCTGCCTCCCCAATATCCCTACAGACTCTCAAAGTCTTTTGGGGTCAAAGTCTCTTTCTGCCAATTCTGTCATGTTTTGACAACCTCATAGCATCCGAACACCTTCTCCACATTTCAAATTCTTGGAAGAATTTGGCCATTAGAAAGTGCAAGATAACTTTTTCCATTTAAAAAAACCATATTTATGAGGGGGGGAAAGGGGGGGATGTAGCTCTCCAAGAGCCACAGCTAGATGTGTGCAACCAACATTTTTTATCTCCCCTACCATTTTATAGTCACTGGTTGTTGCACCTACCTGCCTGACAAGAGCCAGCTGCAGTGAGACATAAAGGATAATTTGGTGATCTTCCGGTGCCAACTGATGTGCTCTGTAAGACACAGATCGCTGTACATTACATTTTGCTATGAAGCTGAACAAACAAGAACATACACTTAAACCAAAGGTGGGTATTACTGTGTGGCCTACAAGCTGCCTCTGTCCTGGGGAAGGCTTCTGTACCCTGTACTCTGACCCCTTTCTCCATTGCTCCCAGTTTTGGAAGGGACAGACAACTATGCCACTCGAAGCCTCAGGGTCTATGATTCTTCATTTTAGAGTTATTTCTCTCCGCCCCCCACCGCTCACCATAACTTTCATAAGGTCTCAAATAGACATTTTTCTAAAACAGAAGCAGCCATCCAGTCTTAAGGAAAGCATGGATTTTGGCTGCAGGGTACCAGGAGGTGAACCACAGGGCAGATGAAGGCCCCAGGCTCTCAGAGGCTATTCCTCCAAGCCCTAGACCAGGGGTCTCAAACATGCAGCCCGGGGGCCATTTGCGGCCCGCTGGATTATAGTTTACGGCCCCCGCCTTGCCTCCCCCCCTGAAGTCCCCACGTGTCCTCTGCTGTCAAGAGTAACAAAAAAGCCTCACCTCGCTCGCCGGCTCTCTCCCAAGACAAGAGGCGCTGTCTTGGGGGAGAGCCAGCGAGCGAGGTGCGCTGTCAGCCCTTTTCCCTGAGCGCCTGAGCCGCCACCAAGCGATGCCTGAGAGTGGAGCTCACTCCCAGCCTGTCCTCAAAGAGTGCCGCCAACAGCACGGCCAACAGCAGCCGCCGCAACCACCTCTTCCAGGGAAGTGGCTCTCTGGCTCTCTTTCTCTCTCGGCACCCCCAGCACCAGATCGGCCAGCGGCTACCTCAACACCAAGCGGTGTGTCCTCTTCCTCCATTGAGCCCCAGCCAGGCTAAGGAAACTCCTGGGTGGCTTCCTCGGGCTCTTGCTCCACTTGGCGGAAAATCTGATGCGGCCCAGTCTCACCCAGCCTCTGCCTCCAGCAGCCCCCAGGTAAATTGAGTTTGAGACCCCTGCCCTAGACAGTAGTGAAGGCAACCTACTGTGGATAAGAAAAGAGGGCTGAAATCTAGCAGTGGCGAGAAATTACTGCCATATCCTCTCTTCTGTTAATGCATTTTGTGCTAGAACACCATTTTCTTTTTAGGTCTGGACACCTAGTGGGGTGTAGCAAGAAATGCCGGACTTGGAGCCGAAAGATGTGGAGTCAGGCGATTACTCAGCCTGGAAGCTTCGTGTACAACTGTGGTCAATTCATTCTCCCTCAGCCCAAATCAATTTTGTAGCACTGTTGTAAACAGTGACGCCTCTAGGCTTATTAGAGACACCTAAAGATCTATTTAGGTGTCAAGAAGAGGTGGCAAGAATACACAGAGGAATTATATCAGGAAGATTTGGATATCCTGGACAACCCAGACAATGCAGTTGTTGACCTTGAGCCAGACATCCTGGAGAGTGAAGTCAAGTGGGCCTTAGAAAACTTGGCTAACAACAAGGCCAGTGGAAGTGATGACATTCCAGTTGAACTATTTAAAATCTTAAAAGATGATGCTGTTAAGGTGCTACATTCAATATGCCAACAAGTTTGGAAAACTCAACAGTGGCCAGAGGATTGGAAAAGATCAGTCTACATCCCAATCCCAAAGAAAGGCAGTGCCAAAGAATGCTCCAACTACCGTACAATTGCACTCATTTCACACGCTAGCACGGTTATGCTCAAAATCCTACAAGGTAGGCTTCAGCAGTATGTGGACCGAGAACTCCCAGAAGTACAAGCTGGATTGCGACGGGGCAGAGGAACTAGAGACCAAATTGCTAACATGCACTGGATTATGGAAAAAGCCAGAGAGTTCCAGAAAAATATCTACGTATGCTTCATTTACTATGCAAAAGCCTTTGACTGTGTGGACCACAGCAAACTATGGCAAGTCCTTAAAGAAATGGGACTGCCTGACCACTTTGTCTATCTCCTGAGAAACCTATATGTGGGACAGGAAGCAACAGTTAGAACTGGATATGGAACAACTGATTGGTTCA